GCTGACTCAGACGGTTTTGGCTTACCTCGCAGGGAATTACTTTGTTTCAACCGAAAACACAATTTTACATAAACAATTCTGAAGGCCGTATTTTAAAGAAACCTAAAAAAGGCATAAGCAGATGAATAACTTTACCTTCGTGAAAGTAACAGTGCAATCCTGTGCATTTGTTTTCAGAAGGAAGCCCCAGTGACAAAAGATAAACTTCAGTTCTGCTCAGAATTCCCCTGCTACAATGGGGATATTTTATTGCAGATGATTACAACATTAATGTAAAGTATAAAGCACTGTAAAATGCACCTCCAGTTCTGTGAAGCAAGCTCTTAATTCATTATCCCCTTTCTCGGCTTTTCACTAACCAAACTCTCTTTCTAGCTCAGGTGTGTGTTAACAGGAATTGTTTTTAGAGATATCTTCTAAAGTGTCCTTGTCTTCCTCCTGAGAAAAACTGTTTTTTCAGGGTCTCCATGACCCAACATCATCATCATCATCATCATCATCATCATCATCATCATCATCATCATCAATCTCTAAGCCTTTGTGTATTTCTTTTAAACATTTTTCACTATCCACTTTCAAAAGCTTTTTCTCTGGGCTACAAGACTCTCACCCACCTTGGTACAGTGATTATACTGCTCTTGGATATCTGGGGATAGGAGTGCTACATGAACATGGAAGGAGAAGCATCTTCTATTGCCATGAAAAACAAAAATTATTCAAGCCTTTAATGAATGCTGCGTTTTATGATAGGAAAGAAAGAGGACTGGGATGAATGTGGCTGTGGATAGACATACCTTCAAACAGGAGCAGGTGTGAGTTGTTATATTCCTCTACTGAGATAAACTCTTGATTTTAATGATCCCCAATAGGCTTCAGAGCCAACGTTCCCACCACCAGCAGCTGCGTATCAGCTGGGATATCTGTTTTGCCATTCCCCCCCCCCCCACATACTTGAAAACTGACAGGGAATGTGGGGAGATGAGGGCCACCACCTGTTTACTTGGCCCTTGCCCCTCCTGCCTCATTAAATCAGCCAGAACAGGACTGGCCCCATGATTAATCTTGGAAATTTATATAGTTTTATGCCGATCTCAAATATTCCATTTCTGTAAAAAGTGACAAATATGATGGTGACCCTTCAGCTCCAAATACAACTGAATGATACTGATTTTCTGGATCCATTTCAAACAGAGTTTCAGATGCACTGGTTGCCTACGTGTATCTATTGCTCCAAGGAAGTTGTTGGTATCCTTGAATATTGCTTAAGGTCAGTAATGGACTAGATAAGAGAGAACAAGCTAAAGTTATATCAACATCAAGGGAGGTACATTTGATAAACAGAAAGCTAAACTCAACAACTGAGGTTCAGGCTGTTTTGGATATATCATTGCAAACCCCCTGAAAGAACAGGTTTGCATTTGGGAATACTCCTTAATCTTCAGCTGTCACTGGATTCACAGGCTGTGTCTGTGGTGAGGAGTGCCTTTACACAATTATGTCAAATATGTCAGCTGTGTCCCTTCCTGACCTAGTCAGGTTTAGTGATGATTATCCATGCCTTACTGGTGTGGCATGATGATTATCTATGCCACGCCATTAAACTTGTCTTGATTACCACAATGCACTCTACAGGGCTGCCTGGAAGATGCAATTGTAAAATGTGCCAGCTGGATTGCTTACTGGTGAAAGGTACAGGGTTCATATGATGATTGTATTAATAGGTCTGTACCACTTACCAGGACAATTTAAGGTGTTAAATGAATGACTTAGTGTCCATGCCTCCCATTATGAACCAGTCTGGTTGTTAAGAACTGCAGGAGAGGCCCTTCTGAAGAACCTCTCCCTGTCAGAGAATCATCTTTCTAGCAGGTGGCAGAGGTATTTCTCCTACATTCCTCCCAGGCCATAGAACATACCCCTTGAGAACTGGGTTTGGTTTCCACTTTTTCAGTGGTTAGGAAATCTGTAAATATCTATCTCTTTCAACAGACTTTAACTGATAGATAATCCTTGATGGTTAAAAGAGAACCAGTTTGGTTCTAGTGGTTAAAGCAGCAGACTGAAAACCAGGAGATTATGAGTTCTAGTCCCGCCTTAGGCATGAAAGCCGGCTGGATGATTTTGAGCTGGTCACTCTCTCTCAGCCCACGACATCAAGCTCAAGAAACAAGCTGGTTGGTCAATTCCTGTCACAACCAACAGATCAACTTTTGGTTGATCTGCAAAAGGCCCTGTACCTGCAGGAAAACACTAGAAGGGGGAAAAAAAGTCCTTTATTGTTAATATTATGTGATAATATTTTGCATACCACTCAGAATCACATAGTTTGAGTTGGGAAGCCATATAAATAAAATAAATAAATAATGTTGTATGTTTTATTTTTTATATTGTATTTTTGAATTTTGTTAGTGACCTTGAGTTAGCTTAACTTAACTTCCTTAAGTTTCACTATAGTTCTTTAACCCTTTGAAAACTACTCTGCAAAAGAGGCATGCGGCTTCATGACAAGGTTCAAGCATATCTGACCAAAGAGCTGCTTTATTCATCCATAAGGGCTGGCCTGTTTGGACTGTGCAAACCTGTCTGCTTTCATGAACCAGAAGAATGCATTTCTGTCTTCTGAGCTTGATTCAGAGCAGAAGGATGGCATCTGATGTCATTCAAAAATCCAATGTTAGTTGGCCCAAAACATATTAAGGCATCAAGGTTGAAGAATAGGGGTAGGAAGAGAAGTATGTATATTGAAAAGTGGTGTTTCCACAATGGACGGCATGCCCGGACCTGTTCTAGACAATGCAGGGCTCAAAGTTCTGAATCAAGCACTGCCGATCATGCATTTCTATCCCGAGCTTTTTCTTCTCAAATAGAACTATCCCAATAACTGGTATCTTATCTCATTAAGAAAATATCACACAAGGTATTTGCTAAACTCACTATTCTTTCATCTTAAACTATCATTTATAGTAGAATAAATTATACAATAATGTGTTGGAAAAATACAGTGCAAGGAAATAATAACTCTACGTTATTATTCTAAAGTGATTATTCCTTTTTCAATAATTTAATCTGGATTTTAATTTCTGGAACCTATTAATGAGCAGTTAACAGATACATTTGTGAGAAACCCATGTAATGTAACCCATTTCATGTAATGTAAATGGTTGAGTCACCTTTATTTTTGATTGTGATTTCAGAGTTTTGAGAAAGTTCACAAGTTTCTGATAGAGACACTTCCGTTTCAGCTCTGAAGTGATCTATTTGCCATTGTGCCATCTCTTACAGATCATTTCAGTGCTTTTGTGTCAGAAAAAGTCTTTTTTTTTCTAGGAAAAAAGTTATGAGGCCAATTAAAAACAACAGATGAAAGGACTCAGATACTAGTAATAATCTTCAATGTTCAATATAAAGTATAAATATCTAGCTTGTAGTCAATGATTGGTGAAAAAAATGGAAAGGGAGAATGTGTTACTAGAAAGTTTTTTCATGTTTTTTTATTTATACTTAGTAGTTATTTCTCTTTGCTTTATTCCACTGTCATTATCTAATGTAGACTTATTTTGAATTTCACTGTTCCAACAATAACTATATCTTCTTAAAAAATTAAAAAATTAAAAAGAGAAAGGTGTGTGTGTGTGTGTACACACACCTTTTCTCTCTTTTCTTTTTTAAAAGATATTGCTATTGTTGGAACAGTGAAATTCAAAGAAAAAAGTCAGTGTGTGTGTGTGTGTGTGTGTGTGACACACACACACACACTGACTTTTTTCTTTGAATTTCACTGTTCCAACAATAGCAATATCTTTTAAAAAAGAAAAGAGAGAAAAGGTGTGTGTACACACACCTTTTCTCTCTTTTCTTTTTTAAAAGATATTGCTATTGTTGGAACAGTGAAATTCAAAGAAAAAAGTCAGTGTGTGTGTGTGTGTGTGTGTGTGACACACAAACATAGTTAATCCAATGGGCAAATTTTGATCAGAGTTTTACAAAAAGGAAAAGAGCATTTGAAAATAGGGAGGATGATTTTTTTTTTAAGTACTCATAATAAAACAATTTTTAAAAAATGAATAAGCCCTCACAATGTTCAAATTACAGAGGACAAATAAACAGTGTCTGTTTACATTCAGAAGAAATTCTAAATAATCTAGGGAAAGACAGTTCTCAGGTACTACAAATTATTTACAGGAGAAAAAGGGATTTAAGGGATTTCTTACTAATTTTGAGGAGGACAAAATGATATTCTCTACTTCTAAATTAGGGTGGCAGTTCCTTAATAGGTTCAAGACCATTTGGAACAAGCTTCTACTCTGGAAGACTTCCCATCTAATGCATCATGTTTATAGTGAAGTTGTGAGGATTCATTGTTGGAGGAGCAGCACTCAGCTAAGAACAGATGCTTCTGGGAAGTCAGTAAGGTTTCTTTGGGATGCCTTCCCCCTAATCCCAAATGTAAACAGGGATGGCTGTAATTATTTCAACAATGAATAAAAGACGCTTTGCATATTTGCAAAGTCAAATTCAGATTTATTGTGACCTAAGATTTTAGCAGTGCAAATCTAGGTAGAGTTCAAACTTTGGGCTGCCATATAGAAGTATACATTCCAAAAGACCCAATAGAGCTTACTTCTGAGTAAAACCTGATGAAAATTGTGTTATATGTATCCCAAAACATTAGAACAGATTCTGAACATAAGCTTCCTCAGAATAATGATAGACTGGAAAATTGGAAGAGGTGCCTCCCTGAAGTCCAAAGAAGCTTGCAATAATTTCCATTCATGAGCTACAGACTCAGAAAAGGATCAAAGAGCACAATATCCCAGTTTAGATTATAAATGTTCTAAATATGTTATGTTTCAGGAAAGGGTTAACCAGCTGAATATAAGCATGACGTGTTTTGTTTGTTTGCTCTATGTTCACTCCTGCTGGTAAACAAAAGAAAAGGTATGCAGTAGCAGACAGATTTCCTCTGTTGGTTTTTTTGGGGGTGGGGTGAGGTGGGGGGATCAGCATACCAAGCTTTTGCCAACCTGAGAAATCAACCACAACAGAAGAAGGAGGAGGAGGAGGAGGAGCAGGAGCAGGAGGAGAGAATTCTGGTATCTACTCTTAAGCTTTTTGGAAGTCTTTGCTGGGACATGGTGAACCAGGTGGGGCAGAATCTCAAGGAGTCCACATTCTTGGCATTGATGAATGCATGGCTGTATTTCCAGCACTAGATATTCACAGATTTTCTCTTATCATGATCTCTCTGTGTCTTCCCAGCTCTTCCTGTGAGTGAAAGTCTCTGCAGAGCCACCTCTTACAGTACTGGCAGGGAAACATGATCACTCAGCAGTTGCTGTAACAGGTTAATAGATTTTTTTTGTTTGTTTAAAAAATAGATTTGGATCTTTAAGAGAAAGGGAAGGTATGCAGCTTTAAAGTTAAAAAAAAAAAAATCTCATTCAGCTATCGTTCCAAAGAAACAGCTTTTCAGGGGAGGAGAATTTGCTCAAAGAAAGGATCATTAACAACGTGAAGAAAAATTGCTGCTAAATTTCTGTGAAATGACTCCATCCAGGGTTGCCAAATTATGCTATTCTGAACCAAAGCTTCTCTAAACAATTAGAAACAAAATATTTACAATTTTCAGAATATGATTTTGTGTCTAAATAGTTAATGCAGTTAGTTCTTTTGTGTGAGGTGAAGGCAGCCAGGCTCAATGCAAGCCTCATTTCTGTCTAGCTGTTACGCATATGAACATGTACTCTTTGGCTGTACATCAAGAACAGCTGCCTGAAATGTAAAACAACACAAAATGTATCTAGTTACAATCTGGAAGAGGTAGTGCTGGACACACAATACAGATCTTTTGCTAGCAGCAAATGAAAGCCATGCCTGCCAGTTTCAGACTTCACAACAACTTCGTTAGGAAATAAAATTATCATAGAACTCGTAATAAAAAGGTAGCAACGTCTGTGTGTTGAGATTTCAACATTTTGCTTAAAATTGGAAACAAAGGTACCTGCTATATACTAGGAAAGAAGCTGCAAAACACAATCTCCCAAAATAAATAACCTAATCTGTAGCTAGCTTGGAACATACTTCCTCTCCAGTAACCTACATTGTTCTCCTATAGCATAAGCTATATCAGTGACATGCACTGTGGCCAATACTGCTAATCCTTAAGGAACTTTTGTTTTATTACATTAACCAAGGTTGCATTTGTAGGTTATTCTGAGCTGGGATTCATCTTTTCAACAGCTGACAAATACACAAAAATACACCACCCAACCAGCTAAGACAATGTATCAGGAAATAATTCAGAAATAAGAGGAGATCCATCTTTTTTTTTTCTTCTAGCTGACACTTTTGAGTGAAGAAACATAGCCAGGAGCCAACTTACCAGCCTGCCCAAGACAAGGTCCTGCTTTCTATTGAGAACCCTTTGAGCAACCTCTTTTGGGGAGGCTCTTAGTTGCATGGAAGTTTGCAAAAAATGCTTTAGTCAAAATTAGCACAGGTAAAGACTCTGCCTCCTAAAATGATTGCCTCCCTCCCATCTATGGCAGGACCTTTCAGCAAAAAGCGAAGGGGGAACCTTCAAAAATTTAACAAGGAGACATTGCCTTTTCAGACAGCAGACAGTCCATTTATGTTACTACTATCCCTTACAGCACTGCTTCCCAAACCTGGGTAGATTACCCAAAATTGGGTAAAAGTGGTTTTTCTTTGGGTAATGACAAATGAACCCATTACCCAATCACAACAGGGACATTTAAATGACTTGCCACATATACTAAAATACATTCGAAAATCTCCCAAAGTATTCCTTTTAAGATGAAAATCGATGAAATTACCGATGGTAATTTGTTGAAATGACATAAAGATCATTCAATGATATTGTTTTTATAATACAAGTAGTCCTTGGGTTACGACCATTCATTCAGTGATCGTTCAAAGTTACAATAGTGCTGAAGGAAGGGACTTACGACCAGTCCTTGAAGTTCCACCTGTTGCAGCACCCCTGTGGTCATGTGAACAAAACTTGGGTGCTTGGCAGTCAGCTCGCATTTACGACCTGTAATTTGGGTAATGAAGGAAAAAATTTGGGAAGCACTGCCTTAGAGAAAGTAGCCTTGCCTGCTTCATTTTCCTTAGCCACATCTGCCAGAACAGTCCAGATGGATGGATAAAGTGCTGCCACAAGACAATAATAATTTTGTTGCTCAGTCCTTTCAGCTTCTGATAATAAAAACATGAAGAAAACAGCTTGACTGATAGCCTTTGGGGTAAAAGGCTGCTCACAGCACCCAGAAACGCTATACAAACAAATGCTCATTAGCTACAGCGATACAGTATCAGAAAGCCTGGGTTGAAACAAAATGCCATTAATAATGCAAGATGGTGTTCCCCAAAGAATATATTTTAAAATCAACCACTAGTAGTTAAATCCTTGAGTTCAAGCATTTAACTTCCTAAACGTGTGTACAAACCTGATAAAGGTGGACCCAATGTTCAGATGATGTGGAGTCTGAATTCAGGACCTCAGATGCTGAATCCAGGTCAATGAACTAAGAATACGGTTGTGAACCAATGTGAAATGAATTCAGTGCATTCTCAGATATTTTGCTGAATAATCACTTTGAATGATGTCCTTGAAAACTCATTTTTTAAAGATATACCAGGAGGTATATTTGGAAATCCAGGGAAAGGATCATCTCATATATCAAAATACCATTGGGGCTCCTACATTGCTTAAGGCTGCCTCAGATGCCAGTTTTGACTTAACAATAATGGTACCTCTCATTTGAAAGATGATGAAAGGCCTCTAGATTGGTCAAGCCATGGATGGGCAAACTTGGCTTGTGGCTTGCTTGTCAACACATGATATATATTGATTAAGCAGGACTCTGAGAGAAACAATAAAAAGATTCTCATAAGACGTTTTATGCATTTCTTCACTAGCCTATTGCCCAACTAAATATGGTTTAGCTTGATATCAACTAAATTTAGTTTGAAATCAACTAAATGGAGCCTCTAACTTAAATTACAAATTATAGTAGTAGAGATGTGTGTTTAAATCTGTTCTTTCTCAATTATATATAATTGATTTATCTGACTTCAAGTGAAAGAAGATTATAACCTAGGAAGGAGCATAATTTAAAACCTTCACAGCTACACCCCCTCCTTACACATAAATATGTAGCTTTGGAACATTTTCCTTAATGAATAAATGAACAAGTACGTTTTTAACTCATTTGTTTAATTGGGTTCTCTTTATCTAGTTTTAGGACTTGTGTGGAGAACATATCA